GAAAGCAGACACACATAAAAGCCATATTTTCAGGCTTCTTCAGAAGAAATGCTTCTGTAATTCACAGAGAAAATAATGGATTAAAATAAAGGTATCAAGCTACTGCTAATATTATTACTGCTATTCAAGTTTTCCAAATCCAATGATTAATTAACGGTTCCTGAAAAAGTGAAAAGAACCTAAGACCAAACAATGGAGCCCACGTTGCCAGCATTCTGAAACTTATCCAGAAGCAATTTGCAAAACAAAATGTAGGTTTTTGATAGCAGACACATTTAAAAGTTTTGAAATTCTGGAGAAAATATTAGGACTGTCTAAAACAAAATACTCTCTTTGATAATACTAGTATAAGAGATATTTTATAATATCAACAAAAAAGTATATTTTGAGCACCTCCTATTAGAAATTACTGGTGAATTTACTGGCTAAAATGAATAGTTCATAAGGACATCTAATGTCTGAAGTGAGAATGTTTCTCAAGGGAATGTCCCATCATAATTCGCAAAATTATCAGATGCTAATAATAAGCTATTGATAAATATTTATATAAATACTTTAGAATTTTGTTATTTATATATGGCTTAGGAGAGCCTTTTTTTCCCTTCAAGCTTACCTCACGAGATTTTGATTGACCTCAGTTTTCTTTATAATTATTATTTCAATTAAGTATATCACGTAAAGACAGCTCTCTTGAAACATCCTAATTTTTCCTGATATCCATGCCAGACAATTGAGCAATTTTGGATCCAGAATTTCCTAAATCATAAGTCTCAGTCAGTATAATCTGATCTGGGATGATAACATATTTCTGTGTCTAATGCTTAACTGAGAAGAGCATTAATGCAAAAGATAGGTGATGAAATTTCTCTTTTTTCCCATATCTTCATAACCTGGTTGAACATGATAGATTGGCTAGCTTATTGATTTAGGAATGATTAGCAATATTACTTCCCCTAAAGGAATATTAAGATGATTTATAACAGATTTGAAACCTGATTTCTAGCTTCCCGTGTAAATGTGCACAAATTTATGTTTGTCTTCAAATTTCTACCTTAGAAATATCCACTTATGCACACAGGGGATCTCAACTTTGTAGTTCCCCAAGAATTTAGTGACTGTCTTTATACATATACATTTATATTGCTGGAGAAACAATGAAGTGCAATAGTTGAGGGCTTAGATCCAGGTTAAAATATCACCCATGCCTTCTACTAGCTATGGATTTTCAAAGTTACTTAAACGGTCTGTGTCTGTGTTTCCACATTTATGAAAAGGGAGTAATATTACCAACCTCTTAAGATTTAGATGAGAATTAAATATGTTAATATATGCAAACCACTTAGAACAGTGCCTGGCAAATAATAAGCACTCAATGAATGTTAGCAGACAGTATTATCGTTGTATCATTTCTCAATTTGAATTCTTGTTTATACCATGGAATCGATGGTTTCTCTCAAGAGTGAAATAAGTGTGTACTCAATAACTGGTCATTTCTGTTCCAATTTCTTCTCATTAAAATTTGTTTTCCAAACTTCAGTCATTCACTTACTATGTTTGTGGGTTTTCTTTCGTATTTCATGCACTTAAATAACTTTATTTTAACGAATAATGTATTCATAATACTAACAAATGACTCTGTGATGTGATACATTCTTCTACTAAAACTTAAGATTATATAAGTAATAATTAAAATTAGAACATTCATCAGCTAAAATAATCTCTTCTGCCTATGGCAATATGTACACAACACATTTTGAAATATGGCCTTATAGGAAAGCATTCTATAGGTGACTAGAAGAGCAAACTTAGAGGATGCTGGGCTACCACACCCATAAAAGTCTAGCGGTGGTAGGACGAAAGATGGCATAGACTTGGCCATAAAAGAAATGGTAAGACTGACACAGGTGAATGCCCAGGTGCCAATTCATCAATATTGTGGAGTCATTTCCTTGCCACTACTTTCTCTAACACTTAAAGCTTGAGGGACTCTACATGCCAGAAGAACGACTTCTATCCTAAGACTAGAAATCCAGCAAGGTTTTGAGAAAACGGAACCAAAACTTCACCTATCCCAGAACTCTTCCACACTTGTAAGTTTAAGATAAGACACATATATTAAATTTTCATTGAAGATTATAAATCTTCAGTAATAGTAATAATAGTTAATACTTAAGCAATAGCTCAGAGTAGTAAGTTCTAAATGTATAACAATATAAAGTAAATTCCTAGTTCCTTAAGAGGATTAAATACTAAATATATGTATTTGAATAACAGATGTACAGTTTTGGTTTCTAGGATCACTCCCATTAACTAACTATTCTGCTCCCAGTTTTCTTATGCAAAAGACCTTTCATTTTAACATTAATTGAGCATCAACTATGGTCATGCTACTTAGGGCAATGCCAGCAGCTGTAAAATTCTCTAAAATACATGATGGCTCTCAGAAATAGAAGATTATTTCTTACTCTATAACAGTTAGAAAGAAGTTTTCTACAGGAACTCTTTGTACGCCCTGCAACTTTTCTCTAAGTATAAAATTATTCCAAAATAAAAAGTTTACTAAATAAAACAAAGTGATTTTTTCCTGGCTCGTGTTTAGCTTTTCTTGATATGGTGATTCAGGGACCAAAATTCTTCCATCTTTCATCTTCATCCTCCCATAGCGCCTCATTCAGTGTTTACTCCCCACCAATGTATGAGGAAGAGAGAACACGGAGGGGAAGCTCTCACTGGTCAATAGCCTTGGATGGGGAGTGGTTCTCATTCTTTCTGCTCACTTTCCATTGGTCTGGTCTAGTCACATGGCCACTCCTAAGTGCACAGCAGGCTGAGAAATGCAGTCTAGATATGTGCCCAGGAAAGAGTGGACAGAATTTGGTGGGTGACCATCAGGCTCGACCACAGTCCTCCCTCCCATATATTAATTTGCACCTGTCTTCCAACACTTAAATACACCCATCCACCTCCTCAAAGGAGACAACCAGAAGTCTCACCCAGTTACTGTGTCAAGTTCTATTTTTCCAGAATCTTTGGTGATAAATAGCTTTCTCCAACAGGTCCAATTTCTCTCTAGGGAGTTAAGGATTTAGAACTCGAAAAATAAGCTTTGTCCTGCTTTCCTCATCACATCCAACAGACAATGGTGAAACAAGAACTTGATAACTGGAAAAAAACACAAAAAATCCTCTCATTTGCTCATTTGTAAAGGAAAGAATGGTAAAAGGCCAACAGTCGCTGGACCAAAATGATGATTAAATCCTGCTGGGCAGGCCCTGTGAGACCTCTGCCCTGGCAGCAAAGACAGTTCCTCGCTCTCCTTTATGGGAGAATTCTCCATGTCCATTGTCCTCCAGGGTTTCTGGCTCTGCTTTCTGGAGGCTCTTTCTTCTGAATTATCCTCCACGGGCCACATCTGAAATGAGTATGGAAGAGAAGGGCCTCCTTGAAGGTTGTACTGCCTTCATAATCCAGTTTATATGGAGCAAATATGGGATTCGAGGTTTGTAGAGTCATGAGTTTTTTAGTCCAGGCTTTTTGTTTCTTTGGTAATATAATTCTCTCAAAATCTTAGTAGATATTGATCTAATCCCTTCAGTCAGTTACATGTGCCAGTAACCAGGGCCAAAGACATCCAAAGTTCTTTACTAGACATAGTACTCAGGCCTGCTTTATTTCTTCATTCCTCACACTGATGTCTCTCTCTTTCTCTCCCTCTCTCTCTCACCTCTCTCTCTCTCTCTTTCTCTCTCATTCTTTCCCTCCCTTTCCCCTTCTCTCCCTCATGAAAAATACTGGAAAATTCCTGTTTATTGAAATAGTACTATTAATGAGAACTTCTGTTTAGGTTATCAAACAGTACAATATTTAATTATAAATTCTTCTCTTTCTCCTTTTTCTTTATTATAGATTCTATCTATAGTGCTTCTTTAGGAGAAAGAACAATAAAGCCCTTTTAAAAATTTGCTCCAAAAGCACTTATTGTGTGATTATTATGTATTTAAATACATCTGGGTCAGAGTAGAAGACATGAAAATTAATAGAACATGGACTTTGAAAAAGCTGAGCTCACATCATATCATAAACACAAAGTGTTTCAATATTAAATATTTTTATAGCATTGCAAATCACCTGAAATGTAGAGATGTAAAACAATGATTTTTTTATGCTAACAGACTGTAGTCAAAAATTCAGATAAGGCATAGCGGGAAAAGCATGTCTTTACTATACAGTGTTTGAGGTCTCTGCTGGGAAAACTTGAAGGTTGGGAGTGACAATGGCTGGGAGGAGGAATCATCAGGACATCTTTTTTTTTTTTTTTTTTTAAAGATTTTATTTATTCAGTTTTTTCCCCCCAAAGCCCCAGTAGATAGTTGTATGTCATAGGTTCACATCCTTCTAGTTGCTGTACGTGGGACTCGGCCTCACGTTGGACGGAGAAGTGGTGCCTCGGGGCGCTCCCGGGATCCGAACCCGGGCCGCCAGCATCAGAGCACGCGCACTTAACCGCTAAGCCACGGAGCCGGCCCATCAGGACATCTTTATACTCACATGATTGGGGGTTGATAAAGACTGTTTGCTGGAACCTCGGCTAGTCTGTCAGCTAGAAAACCTATGAGGCCTCTCCCTGTGGTCTCTCTGTGTGGAGTGATTTGGGCTTCCTTACAACATGGTGACTATTTTCCAAAGGTGAGGGTTCCAAGATGGGGGGGGGGGGTGCATGACATTTTTATGCTTTAATATTTGAAGTCATATGGTGTCACTTCTACTGTCCAAAGCATTTATTTCTCATTTTATATCCACTTTATTCACCTTCTTGAATGAATCTGAATATGATTACTTTCATGTGCATTCTTACTGAATTATAATCTCTGCTTCCTGATATTCACACCCTTGTGTGATCCCTTCTCCTTGAGTGTAGACTAGACTTAGTGACTTGCTTCTTTAAAGCTTTCTTTAAAAGAAAAATAATATGATAGTATTAAATATCAATATTTTTGCAGATATCCCGACACAGAAGGAATCATTCACAGCATGTCTTGAAAGATGTCATTCCTCCATTGGAACAATTGGTAAGTGATTACTTCACTCCAATGCCGTATTATTTATCTACTGCTATAAAATAATTTACCCCAAAACTCAGCAATTTAGAACAGCACATATTTTTATCTCATGTTTCTGTGGGTCAGGAGTCTAGGCATGACCTATCATGGTCCTCTAGCTCAGAGTCTCTCAAAAGGTAGCAATCAAGTTTAAAGCAGAATAGGGGTCACATCTGAAGGCTTGACTGGGGAAGGATCTGTTTTCCAGCTCGTGTACATGGTTGTTGGCAGGGTTCAGTTCCTCCAGGGCTATTGACCAGAGGCTGCTCTCAGTTCCTTGCCACTTGGGTTTCTTCAGCATGGCAGCTTGCTTCTTCAAAGCACACAAGCTGAGAAGGTGAGAGGGTCTGCTAGCAACCAGGAAGTCAAAATCTCTTGTAATCTAATCATGGAGGTATTATCCCATCAACTTTGCCACATTCTCTTGGGCAGAAGCAAGTCACTAAGTCTAGTCTACACTCAAGGAGAAGGGATCACACAAGGGTGTGAATATCAGGAAGCAGAGATTATTGAGAGCTTTTTGCAAATTTTACAGTTTTCTTTTTTTTTTTTTTAAGGAAAAATTAATCCTTTACCAGTAGAGTCTAAGTCCCTGAGAGCAGGGAATTTTTTTTTTCCATTTTTGTTTATTGTTGTGTCCTAAAAACTAGAAGAGTGTCTGAAACATTGTAAATAGCATGAATGAGTGAAATATTAGAGATATATTAAAAACACATGATCCCAACCTTTCTGATACATTCTGATACATCTTTCTGTTAATGACCTCTTTTTGATAAATATAATGCCTTTTTTCTCCATGCTTATCCTTCCTGCTATGTTTCACATTGGTCAACGTGATTCCAGTTTCATTGGCTCACCAGATACTGCACTATGATGACTTTATTCCTATTTATCCCCTGCTATTCCATTCCTGTATCTTCAGGCTTTTTCATTCTCAACACTAAAAATATTTCTTTTCTTTGTTCAGGTCTCTTCTTTTCTTTTGTTTTGCATATTCTAGTTCCCTTATCTTCACTCCAGCTATTGCTTCATTATTCTGCTATCCTTTAGAAAAAAATTCCTTAAAAAGATTGTTTACCTTTACTGTCTCTAATTTCTTCCCTCTCTTTATCTCTTGAACCAACTCTAATTAGGCTTTTATCCCAACCACTCACCTCCTGTCAAGGTCATCAGTTACTTCCAAATTGCTAAATCCGTTGGTAAAGTCTCAGCTCTCTCCTTCGTAGATCTATCCAAGAATTTAAAGATTTCTTCTTTTTGAAACATTTTCCTCACTTGGCTACCAGTAAACTACTTTTTCATGGATCTCCAGTTAATTAAATGGACACCTGTTTTCCATCTCCTTTGCTGGTTCCTATTCATTTGGGAGCTCAATTCTTTTCTTCTTTCTCTCTATATGTATTCCCTAAGGTATTGCATTCAGTGTTATGGTTTTGTATACTGCGTTACACTAACTACTTCTAATTTTCTTTCTCCAGCATGGACCACTGCCCTAAACTCCAGTACTGTATATTGTGGTGTTTTCATTTATATGTCTAACCTACATCTCAAACTTAATATATCCTAAACTGATCCTGATTTTTTCCCAAACCTATTTCTCTTAGTCTTCTCCATTTCACAAGATGCCAACTGCATTCTTCCAGGTGCTTCAGTCAAAACTCTTCAAGTCATCTTTGACTCCTTTTTTTCTCTCAGAGAAACAAGGTTTCCAGTCTCCACCATAGTAAAAGCTGAAAAACGTTTGGCGATTCACCAGATCCTACAGTTCCTAGCTACCTCTCTGGCCTCACCTCTCCCTCTCTTCTCCTGGCTCATTCTGCTCCAACCAAGCTGACTTCCTTACTTCTCCCACAGGGCCATGCCACCTGCTCTTTCCTCTGCCTGGTACGAAATAATTCATTAGGTGCCCAGAAATTTGTAAGGCTTATTCTTTCATTTGCTTCACATCTCTGTTTGACTATCACCTTTCTAGATAAGTCTTCCTAATCTACTTTAAAAACAAATGAACAAACAAACAAACAATGCCACCATTTCCCTCCACACTCCTTCTCTCACCCAAATTTTATTTTTTCCATAGAACTTACCACCATGTGGCATACTATACAATTTTTTTTATATTTGTTTGTCATCTCGTTAGAATATTCTATGAGGACAGCAGTATTATCTCTATGTTCATAACTCTATTCCCATGATTATAACAATTGCTAGAACGTGGTAAGAACTCAGTAAACGTGTGTTAAATAAATGCATGAATGAAACAGCTAATAGCTTTTTTTTTACTTCCAAGCTTATAATACACAGGTCTATACTTGTATACATTGTCTTCATTATCTCATCCTATGTCTTGAAGTGCTGATTAGTCATTTGTTTTAGTATGTCTCGGTGTCAGAAGTGAAATTTCTCAAATTGAACCCATCATCACCTTCTTCCCAAACTGATTGCCCTTTCCATTGAGCCCATTTCTATTTGTGGAAAACATTTATCTAGCCTTAGAACACATTTTCTTTGGATCCTTTATTTGCTCTATAACCCTTCACATAAGTCACTATTTTCTGAAGTGGTTTCTCCACAATGGAGGTGATGCCCACATTTTTCTCCATGTGCACATGCACACCCTTGCCCAGGCCTCCAAATGCTTCTGATCTCACATCCTACTCCACTCCCATACTCCACCATGCCTCTTCCACTGATCCTGTGAACAATTCCACACCAACCTTCTTTAAACAGTATCTTCATTATCTCATTTTCCTTGTCAAAACTTTCAACAGCTTCCTGTTTTCTATAGCATCAAGTCTGTAGACCTCTCTCATGGTCCCTGATTGACCTTATTTATTATCTACTCCCAAATACATACCTTCAAGCCAGGAATAGTAACATGATTAAGATGGCTCTTACCTTGAAGGAGCTTGGATTTTCTCTAACAATTACACTTCTCTCATCCCAGCACTCTTTTGTGTTGTTTACTCTTATTTCATGGGTAATAGGCTTGTTCCATTTCCAGACTGTAAATGCTTTGAAGTTAGGGGCTATGACTTGTATTTTCTTTATATCGTGCTTCCCCTTACTTTGCTTTTGGCACTAGTATTTGTTTAGAAAAAGATATATTTGTCAATTGATTTAATAATAAGATATTAAAGGTTTATTAAAATAATATTGCTGATTGCAGATATTAATAAGTATATGCCTGGTATTCATAGTGAAAGTCAATTTTTCAATTTAATTAGATATCGCAGTATCTTGTTTTCAAAATTAATTACTCAGGTCTCAACTCAGAGAGCATTTTCTCTGGGAAGTATTTCTCTGATTGCTCAAATTTGAATCAGGCAGCCCTTTTTTATTCTGCCTCCCGAGAGCAGCTTGGCCTTGCCTCTATCTCTAAATTGCCTCTATCTCTACTCACACTAAAATGGCCTGTTTCCTTTTCTGTCTCTCTTAGTGACCTATAAGCTATTTGAGGGGAGGGCTATGCCTCACTCACTGTTTTATTATTAGGAATTTGTATAAGTTCTGGCACAGAGTAGCTGTCCAATAAATAGGAAAGTAATTGTGTTTATTTTCCATAAATTTGGATTATAGGACAAATAAAGTGCATAAAAATAATTATAAAGAGTTGTATATTTTAAATATAACACATGCAAATGTTTTCTCTGAAGTATTGGATGAAGTGTGGCAAAAGTTAGACTGAAAATGGAGCTTTGTGTGTGAGTATGTAATATAAATATAAATAGGCAATTATATATATGCAAATATATATGCAATCATATGCAATTATAATGTTTGAACAATGCCTTAAGGTGTCTCAAATTTTTTACATAAAATATGTATATTAATTATGAATTTTAAAAATTCAACTTAAGGTTATTATTCAAATTTAATCAATAACCAATGGTGTATTTGTGCTATGCCTATATATCAAGCATAGGCTAATATTAAAGAAACAATTAGAATATTCAGAAATTTTCTCAACTTAGCTTCCGAACATTAAGGTTATTTGTTGGTTTGCTGGCCTGTAGTTGGCTGTCTTGATGCAGTCTCAATTCTTAATGAATGAAACTCATTTTGAATATCCCAAATTATGGATAGTATATTAATAGATAATGCATCTATGTGCTCAATACTCTATTCTAGGTTAGACAACCTTGCAAAGGTGGCATTGGGAAGTACTGCTAAATAAAAGGCAAAAACAATAATTTGTTAAGCCCTTTAGTTTGCAATCTCTCTCTCACACACACACATACTCACACACATACACACACACACTGACACTATCTCTATAAACTATTTTGGAACTGCCAACAATTTTTCTTCCCATTCCTGTCTTGGGTTTCCCTGAATCCTCTCTTGAGTACTTGTTTATCTTGCTTTATCTTGTGAACACAGGTTATATTAAAATTTCATCCATCAATCTCTACTTGAATTAAATTGCCTATTTAGTCTTATTTTAAAGACAGAAATGCTTATTTTTCCCACTACTCTAATTTATGAATTACTCAGTTATGATGGGCAATGCCAAAATAACCACCAATTCCTCCAAACAACAAATTCTGATTAGTTTTTAACTATCCTTTACTGTTTATACCAAGACGTGAATTATTTTCCAGAACCTATAAGTTTTCTTTACATCTGACTGATTTAACTTTATATTCTTTTTACCTAAGTTCACATATTTTTTCCACAAATCTGGCATGTTCCTTACTTCCATCTCTACAACTCTCTTTCCTTCCTTCATGCCTCAGTGTTGCTTCCAGAATTATCCATAGATTCTTGCAGTAGGTTCCCTTGGCAGTACCTATCAGTATGAGACACCATATATAAATAATATGCATTAAAACATTTTAGAAAATAATAAAATCTTTTAAGTTGGTGTTATTACTCATTATTTTTACCATATGGATCTTTGAGCTTATTTACGGCCAACATTTTGTGCTATATAAATCTCATTTCCTTATCTCTCATATTTAGAACTTCCC